CTCAGAGAAGCCCGGGGATCAGAGACATGGCTCAGAGATGTGGCTCAAAGACATGGTTCAGAGAAGCCCAGGGCTCAGAAATGTGGCTCAGAGAATCCCGGGGCTCAGAGACGTTGCTCAGAGAAGCCCAGGATTCAGAGACGTGGCTCAGAGAATCCCAGGGCTCAGAGACATGGCTCAGAGATGTGGTTCAGAGAAGCCCGGGCTCAGAAACATGGCTCAGAGAAGCCCGGGGCTCAGAGACATTGCTCAGAGATGTGGTTCAGAGATGTGGTTCAGAGATGTGGTTCAGAGAAGCCCAGGGTTCAGAGACGTGGCTCAGAGAATCCTGGGGCTCATAGATGTGGCTCAAAGAAGCCCGAGGCTCAGAGACGTGGCTCAGAGAAGCCCGGGGCTCATAGACGTGGCTCAGAGAAGCCTGGGACTCAGAGAATCCTGGGGCTCAGAGACTTGGCTCAGAGAAGCCCGGGGATCAGAGACATGGCTCAGAGATGTGGCTCAAAGACATGGTTCAGAGAAGCCCAGGGCTCAGAAATGTGGCTCAGAGAAGCCCGGGGCTCAGAGACGTGGCTCAGAGATGTGGTTCAGAGAAGCCCAGGGTTCAGAGACGTGGCTCAGAGAAGCTGGAGGCTCAGAGATGTGGCTCAGAGAAGCCAGGGGTTCAGAGATGTGTCTCAGAGACATGGCTCAGAGAAGCCAGGGTCTCAAAGAAGCCCGGGGCTCAGAGACGTGGCTCAGAGAAGCCCAGGGGTCAGAGACGTGGCTCAGAGACGTGGCTTAGGGAAGCCGAGGCTCAGAGATGTGGCTCAGAGAAGCCCGGAGCTCAGAGACGTGGCTCAGAGACATGGCTCAGAGAATCCCAGGGTCAGAGACGTGGCTCAGAGAAGCCCGGGGTAAGAGACGTGGCTGAAGCAAGTCCCCAGCATCAGTAGGCTCCCCAGAGAGAGCCAGCTCTCGTGAGCTAAGTCTGAGCAAGGGCGTGCACAGCAGGCAGGAGTTAGGGCACAGGATGGATCCTGCAGCAGGACCACAATTAAGACTGGGGTCATGTGCCCTGGAGGAGTAGGGGTGTCTGACTTACTGGGCCAGAGCGCTCAATACGGACCACTGGGATGGATCATGAACTCACGTGAGGGCTACTGTCTGATACCACAAACAGGAAGGGGCTGCCTGCAGATGCACTATGTTCAGTCTGCCTGGTGTTTTAATAAAATTCAGTCCAGATTTTAGAATGAGAGTTTTCAGATAAACTTTTTAAAAGGTTTATTTATGCATAAAGAAGGGGTGCAGGTGCGAAGAGAAGAATCACCAGAGACAGAGTGGTGGCTCAGAGACGTGGCTTACGGAAGCAGAACAGGCCAACTGAGGAAGTACACTGCTGAGGGAGCAGTGGGCCAGACAGGATCTGCTGTGCCATGTGGGTCACCTCTGGGGCAGGCGGGGATCGAACTCGCACTAAAGTGGCCACGGCCAGCTTTAACCCGCTGAGCTTTAACCCGCTGCACGACCAGGGAGGGCTTCGGATACAATGTTAAGTCCTTACTTGCCTTGAGAAGTCAGATGATTGGCTTCCTTGAGCGAGGCACGCTTGTCTGGCTCTGCCTGCTGCATTTAATAACAATGGCCCCCTTTCGAGTCCCCACCTCTCCTGTTTGCAGCCCCCAAATTGAGGCTGCTGTCAGGTATCAGTTAGTGTTGTGTTTGCAGTGTGCCTTACTTCTCCAGAGAAGTCTATTTTATCCAGGCGGGGAATGTGAAGGATGAGGTTTGGAGGGGGTGGATTTTGTTTTGTTTTATAACCGAATCACTTGATTCATTTTTCCTGCTGTCTGGCGTCTGTAGACATACCGTTCAACATCTCTGCTGAAAATCATCAGGGATTCATCAGAACATGATCACTAGGGGCCATTAAACCTCTGAGTTGTCTAACACTGAACCTAGAAGGGAGGGAGGCGGCGGATGTGAGGAGGAAGGAATTAAGGCAGGTGTGATGATGAGAATAAAGGGAGTCAAGAGCAAGAGGCCTCAGTCCCAGCAAGATCCATTTCTCATTGCGCAGACCGAGCAGTTCAGCCACCTGCCCAGTGCCCCAAGGTCCGGAGACATACATCCTTTCAAAGATCCGGCACAGACCCTCCCACACTGGAGCTGAGGGCCGGCTCTCCCTCAACAGGGAGGAGCTGTGCCTCCTCCCATTACCCCTGGACAGAAGTGTGCTCATCACGCTTGCTGTCTTCCACTTGAGCTGGTAGTTCCAACAGTAACTGCACAGGAAACAATTCCAGACCATCCAAACAGCGCTGTGTTTGTAGGTTCAGCAGATGTGAGCATTTCCAGCTCCGAAGAACCCACAGGAAGAGGGTTCCCCTGGGCCTTGGGCGCTTGACACGCCCCGGCTGTGAGGTGCTAAAGATAGCAGGTGGGGGCTCTGAGGAGGAGCTGGCGGCATTGCGACACCTGGGCAGGTGTCTGTCTGGCCCAGCAGGCCTGCCTACTCAGGCGAGGGTTCTCGGCTTTTGCTGGCCCTTGCAGGTGGAGATGCTGTTGGTAGATGAAATGCCCCCTAGGGTGACCTCCGTGGGGAAGATGGCAAGGAGAGGCTTGCTCACCGTGAAATCCTCGGGAGCTCCGGGAGTAGCTGCCTCCCCCGTGACCTTGTCCTTTGGTTCCTGTGGTGCAGGCGAAGCCAGGGACTTCCCACCACCCTGGAGCAAGAGAATGTGCTAATTAAATGCTGAGTTTAGGCTAGAGTGGACCTGGATTGAATTCTGTTTCTATCTCTTCCTCACATTGTGTAGCTTTAATAATTGTGTTTGCTTAAATGAAATTAAATGAATAATTTAATAACAGCATGTCTGCTTACAGGAATGTTATGAAGCCAGTTAGATGAAGCACATGAAGATGGGTGGCGTTGCTGGCACTGTCAATAAGTGGCATTGCTATTATTTGTCTCTCTGGATATTTGATTTCTTTTGAAAAGGGGCAAAGACCCCCAAACCTCTGTGATCCTCTTAGTAACTCTCCACTGGGGGCCCCTGGGGGATGCCTCTGTACTGCAGATTTGGTTAATGGTCTTTGGCATGTTGAGCCTCAAGGAGGAAATTTACTCTTCTGGATGTGGGTTATGGGCCTCTCTGCCTCAGGAGGATCATGCAGGCCAGGTCTGGTTTACACACAAGTCCCCCAGCAACCTAAGTTTAATTCTAGAATTGAGTGTTTTGTGGACGCTGTGAGTTTCCTCTGAAAGCACCGTCCCCCACTATGCCAGTCTTCAGAGTAAAAGCTCTACCCGCCTCCCATGCTCAGGAATACCAGAGCTTAGAGTGGTGGGTGTAGACCCTGCAGGTTTCTGGAATTCTCTGTGCAGCTCACTGTCAGGTAGAGATAAGAAGAACACTGGCCACGCTGGGTTGAGCAAGTCTCTGTGCGGACACCCTGCAGGTGCGTGGCCATGGACAGGCGCCGTCACCTTTCCTTCCTCCTCTGGCCCTTACCTCCTCGTCTTCGTTGTCACTGTCACCATGAAGGCCAGGTGTGCTCAAAGGTGCTTCACTTCGGTTGTTAGTTTTTGGCCTGCTCAGGCTATCGGAGCTTGAGTCATCTTCTGTGGTGATGCTTCCTGCCCCCTAACTCCTTCTGATCATGGCAGTAGTGCCCAGCAGCTAATAATCTGGACTTTGAGGCTCCTAGAGACCAGGACTCATTGTCTTGGGTCCCCACTCTCTGGCTTTCTAACTCCGTGACCCCTCACAGCCTCACATTTCTGACTTGTGAAGTATATGGGGCTCAGTGCATGGTTTGGGGAGGGTGAAGTAGCTGATGCTGGGAGCTCTATGAGCAGTTCAGTTCCTGGCTCCTCGTCAGCGAGGAGCTGACCGTGACGCTTCACCATGCCCGGCCTCTTCCTCAGCACAGACCCCCCCACACCTCCCTGCTCCCCAGTGCCCTTCCTGAATTTCCACCTGCTGTTCGGGAGGTGATGCAGCTGTGGAACTCTGTCGTCACGTGCTCTTTGGTTTCTCTCTTAGGAAAAGCACCGCACTTCCTGCGACTCCAAAACGTTGAGGTGAACGTGGGGCAGAATGCAACGTTCCAGTGCATTGCTGGCGGCAAGTGGTCTCAGCACGACAAGCTCTGGCTCCAGGTAAGGGCGGGAAAGGCCCCACACACCTGCGCGTTCCTGGGAAGGGGAAAAAGCCTGTGCTGTGATGAAGGGCTTGGTGGGTCAGGGGTGGGATGTTTCTGAGGACCTCTTCTTGCACGATGCTCTTCATCCATGATCTTGTTAAATCGTAACCTTCATTCTGTTCTGTCACCGAACTCTGTCCTTCTGGCCTGGATTCCCAGCTAAGCAAACCGAGTATTTTAGATCTGGGGACATGACAACATAATCTTGGTGAGGTCTTGGGTTCCTTGGGGGTGCATCAGTTTCCTGTGTGATGGTTAATGCTCCTCCATAGCATCTGGGCAACAACAGAGGGTCAGCCGTCACTAGAATATTTCATTAGATGAGCAAAATTATTTGCTCTGAGCACGACCATCAGCGAAGTGGGCCAGGAGGGTATGCAAAGTTTGAATCTCTTTCACTTTTATTTTTGCGCGTTGAGCCAACTTCCAAAGCCAGAGGGGAAAGTTTTTTTTTTTTTTTTTTTTTTTGGCAGAGGTAGGAGAGAGTGGGTGGGGCACAGAAGCAGACACACATTGTGAGAGCATCACGCACGTGCCCTCCGTTAACAGAGAATTCCGAGTGCTAAGGTAGGCTTGGCGCAGGGGCTGTGATGTTCAGGGAAGGAGCCCGTAGCCACCTGAATTTAATGTATTGTAATATATCTAACATTTTCTGGTTGTTTTTTATTTATTTTTAT